TTAGGGTTTAGGGTTTAGGGTTTAGGGTTTACATACTTTCTTCTTTTGCAAAAACAACATCAGAAACCCTGAAGCGAATGGGGGCCCCCAAATCATATGTTAGTCGATGCCCCTCAAAACACCAAGACCACACAGCAGCAGCAGCATTTGTTTTTCCTTCTTTTTCTGCTGCTGCTGCTGCTGCTGCTGCTGCTGTGTCTGCTGCTGCACCTGCTGCTGCTGCTGCTGCTGCTGCTGCTGCTGTTGTTGTTTCTTCGCATGCTTTCGGCTCCCGCAAATTCGATGCGGGAATCTTCACATCCTTGAAAAACTCCATATCCACTACACGCAAAAAAAAGGGTTCAGGGTTTAGGGTTTAGGGTTTTTAGGGTTTAGGGTTTAGAGTTTGTTAGAGTTAAGGGTTCAAGGGTTGAACGCCTACAGCTGAGGCCTAGGGTTTAGGGTTTACGAGGCTTTGCGGTTTAGGGTTTATGAGGGTTTAGGGTTTATGAGGGTTTAGGGTTTATGAGGGTTTAGGGTTTACGAGGGTTTAGGGTTTATGAGGGTTTAGGGTTTACCAGCAATGCCAGAAGAAGAAGACTCGCGGACGATGCCTTGCAGCACCTCGCCGATGAAGGGTCTAAATATTACGGCTTTGAAGCAAACCTGAAACACAAACCCTAAACCCTAAACCCTAAACCCTAAAACCCTAAACCCTAAACCCTAAACCCTAAACCCTTCATCTCCACCCTGCGTAGTAATAATGCTTCTATCGGCGAGGGTTTAGAGACAAAGAGAAACCTCATATCCCCCTTTACTTTCTTCGCTCTGATATGAAAGCTAGGGTTTAGGGTTTAGGGTTTAGGGTTTAGGGTTTATGAGGGTTTAGGGTTTACAATGTATCGAGCTTTTCCTGTAGAGGGGAGAATGGGGGCGCCCGTAACCTCTGTTATTTCATAAAGACAAACAAACAACCCCAAGTCTTTCAACACCTGAACAAAAGCCCTAAACCCTAAACCCTAAACCCTAAACCCTAAACCCTAAACCCTCGATACAGCGGGTATCTAAACCCTAAACCCTTATAAAATATAAACCCTTGATAAACCCTAGCGTGAAAAAAACCCTTTCCCTCGTTTCTAAAACCCAGTCCTCAACATAACCCCAAACCCTAAACCCCAAACCCTAAACCCTAAACCCTAAACCCTAAACCCTAAACCCTAAACCCTACTTTGTTTGTATACTTCAGGGCGATGGTTTCTCTCAATACGGGCTCTAGAGGCCTCCCAAGGAGAGAAGGGTCGACACTAAGAGTGTCTTGCAAAAGAGATATTATAAACATCCTAAACCCTAAACCCTAAACCCTAAACCCTAAACCCTAAACCCTAAACCCTAAACCCTAAACCCTGAAAAAAGCGGGCAGCAGCTGCTGCTAAACCCTAGGAGTTTATTCCCGTCTCATCATCCTTTGCTTTAATCATTAAAACCCTAATTAAACACTCAAACCCTAAACCCTAAACCCTAAACCCTAAACCCTAAACCCTAGCTTGTAGAAGATCGCTGCAGAAGGGAGGCCAGCCAGTCGAAGCCCCAGCGTTGAGGAGTCGAGTCTTGAGGATTAGGGTTTAGGGTTTAGGGTTTAGGGTTTAGGGTTTAGGGTTTATCTCAAGGAAGAAAAACAGAAGATAAAGATAATAAAATAAAAATTGATGGTTGATAGAAACCCTATATTCTACAAAGAAGTTATGCTGTGGGGCGCGAGACCCTGAAAACGAGGGTTTAGGGTTTAGGGTTTAGGGTTTAGGGTTTAGGGTTTAGGGTTTATGGGTCTGAGCAAGTAAACACAAATATATAAATATATTTATATTGTAATTTTGTTTTTTATATATTTCTTCTTTCTCTGGGGTGTATATACACCCCAAAGACAGCAACCCTTTCCCTTCTCCTTTGTCTCTCGTCTCTGTCTACTAAACCCTAAACCCTAAACCCTAAACCCTAAACCCTAAACCCTAGAGGAGTCCCCGTTCTCAAGCCTCGTTTTCCCTTGGGGGGTTATATTTATAGGGTGAAGACTGGACAGTCTACATTCTAGGGTTTAGGGTTTAGGGTTTAGGGTTTAGGGTTTAGGGTTTACACAGGGAATGGAAGGGGCCCCAGGGTCTGCCTGGGGACCTGCAGGGGCCCCAGGAGACAACACAGGGGGGCCTCGCATTGAGCAGCAGCAGCAGCAGCAGCAGCAGCAGCAGCAGCAGCAGCATGAAGAAGCCCAAGTATTGCTCCCTTTGTTAGGGGGGGAGAAAGCTGCGAAAGAAACCCTCAGGCGGCGAGGGTTTAAGGAGGGTTTAGGTTCTAGCGAGGGTTTAGGGTTTAGCGAGGGTTTAGGGTCTACACACAAACCCTTCTCCTTTCATAGACTCGTCCTTGGTGGTGATTTCCACCGCAATGTAACCCTCATGTAAACCCTAAACCCTAATAACCCTAAACCCTAAACCCTAAAAACCCTAAACCCTAAAAACCCTAAACCCTAAACACTAAAACAAGCATTTAACGCCAAGACCAACCCTCATATAAACCTAAACCCTAAAAACCCTAGAAACCCTAAACCCTAAACCCTAAACCCTAAATCAAGCATTTAACCCCAGCACAAACCCTCATATACACCACGATCCGAGTCTAAACCCTTTTTCATAACCCCAACCCTAAACCCTAAACCCTAAACCCTATCCCTAAACCCTCTTCGAAGCCCAAACCCTAAACCCTAAACCCTAGACCTCATTTTGTTTCGTTTCTTTTCCAGGGAATCACAAAACCCCTACAGTAACACTCACGCAAACCCTAAACCCTAAACCCTAAACCCTAAACCCTTGGGGTTTGTGTTTCAGGTTTTACTTTCGTGTGCTGAATGCTATTTCTTACGCCGCTCGTTCTGCTGCTATCTTCGATGCCTATTTACACATGCAGTTTGGCGGCAACAGAGCGGTGAGGGTTTAGGGTTTAGGGTTTAGGGTTTGGGGTCTAGGGTTTAGGGTTTAGGGTTTGTCCCTTTAGAACAAGTTTTATAGTTGCTGACAGTGTAAAGCGTATAACGAGGGTTTAGGGTTTATCGTTTAGGGTTTATGCTTTGGTGGAGGTCTAGGGTTTAGGGTTTAGGGTTTAGGGTTTACATATGAATGAAGGAAATACAGCGTGTGTTCTATGTGCGCACTAAACCCTCCATATCCTCTCCTCTCCCACAACAAAACCCCATTAGGGTTCAGGGTTTAGGGTTTAGGGTTTATGAGGGTTTAGGGTTTATGAGGGTTTAGGGTTTAGGGTTTAGGGTTT